GCACTGGGCCGGGCTGCTCGGGTGCGGGACTGCCTGGGGCGGAGAGTGCCGGCTGGGGCTCTTAGGGGCCTGATCTGGGGGTGGCGGGGGCCCCGGGCTGGGATTGGAGTCTTCTCGGCCTACGCTTGGAGGACGTCGGGGCGCCGGTCTTGGGAGGGCACCTAAGGAATACGGCGGTGGCCTGCTTGGACTGAGGCTTAAAGGAGTCGTGGGAGTGCGTTTAGGGGAGCCTGAGTCAGATTTGGGGGGTGGCGTTCACTCGGTCTAGAGGGGCTGAGCCTGTATATTCAGGAACTGGTCAGAGGTAGCTCAACTTGGGGACTCTGACTGGAGGTTGAATCTGAGGTCCTTGAGTCAGGCATGAGGGGAATGAGTTTGAGGGGACACTTGGGTGAGGCACTGATTTTAAGGGACTCTTGGAACCTTTTCCCCCTACTGTTGGAGCAGGGGCCCTGGAAGACAGAGGTTCTGTTTTGGGAGCTTGATAACTCTGGTTGGTTGCTGTGTTTGGGGATAACGTGAATCTTTTGGGATTTGGGGGTATATCTCAGATATGCTGTGTGGGATCAGCCTTGTGAGAGTGTGTGATGAGTAAGAGAAGCAGCATTCACATCTTGACCAGAATAATCCTTTCACCCTTGCCCACCTACCCAGCTGGGGCAGATCCCAGGGATAGTGGAAAAGCCCTCTTCTCATTCTCCATAGGGGGCTTGAATGGGAAACAAGCAGGCCGAGGGGATGGAGATAATGTTACTTGTTAGCTCTGTGAAGGCCTCAGACCTTATTTGGGAACCCAGAGGAGGGTCTAGTTTCCTGCAGCCACTTGCCTTAGCCTCTCAGTAAGCCCTGCCCACTCCCTACCCACACACTCCTTTTTATCTCACTCTCCCGATCTATCAGCTCCAGGGGATAATCTAAAATCTGTTCCTAGAGCTGGAGTGAGTACTGAATGCACCATTTCTGCATGGGTGAGTCCTCTCTGGTCTCTTCTCATCCCCACTTCCATCAGCGGGTTTGAAGGCCCAGTGGCCCTCCCTGTCCACACCCCTGCCCACCCTGGTGCCCATCTCTTCCAACTTCTATACAGTGGGTGTGTGAGTTATGGGAGGGGGGCTTTGCCTCCTTTCTGCCTGGGATTGTGCTGAGATCAGCGGCTCCCCGCGCTTCCTCTTCCTGACTTCCTGGGTGGTTTTAGGGCCCCATCTGAGGGTGAGGAGAGGAAGGAAGACAGATCCTTGGGGAGGGGAGAGAATTCTTTTCAAGTGAAGTCACCCACCATCTCTCAGGATTCTAAATCTTCGAAATTCAAGGATGCATATTCTTCCACGTGTGTTTCTGTCCCTGCGCATTAGGTTTGTGCCTAGCATGGAGCAGGAGCTTTTCTGTATGTTGATTTACCATCTTCTAATTCCCTTATAACAACCTAGGTCATCACAGCAGTGGGCACAGTTGAAAGGGAGGAAGGTGTACATGGCTTCTTCATTTGTGTGCCAGTGGGTATTAGGGGGATGTGTTTTGCTCTATCCAAAAACCTGGAGAGGGTTGGGCAGGCTCCTCCAGCTAAGAAAAGAATGCTCATATAAAGCGGATCATCCACCCAAATTCTCCCTCTTGTAAATCCAGAGGGGAGTCTGATATGTCCATTGTACATTTGGCATCCCATGAACTCTGTCTGGGGCTGGGGAAAACTCATTTGCAAAGTGGTAGATCCTGAAGGTAAAGAAAATGGGTTTGTTGACCCTAGCTGTCTTCGTGATGCATTTGGTTTGTGTTACAATGGACTGTTAAGCTGAGGGATGTCCCTACTTACTATGTGTGTGTATGCATACAGGGCGCTCACATTCAGCTGTTAGGAAAACAGCAGGGGATGTGGGGGGCTGGGAGAACTCTGAATACAAAATCAGGACTCCTGTAAAGTGAGTCTCATTCTATTGTAAATTCTGTTTTCCTCAAAGCCAGGTTGTTGGACACAATAGTTAGGTGAGGGGGTTGGGATCCAGGCCCTCTTATTATCCTGACTCTTGAGGGACCGTGGGTAACACAATGGGGAGGAGGAAGAAGGGTAGGGAGGAGAGAGGGCACAGAATTCACGGTGATGGTACCCTGCAGGATGGCCAAATACAAGGGGTTCTCTCCTACCCAGCCCCCATCCCCATCTCAGGGGAGTAGGAGGAGAATGAGATCTCCCTACTATTACTGACCATTCCCCTAACTCCCCCCACCCTCAGCCTGAACTCCTTGCTTCCGGAATCTGGGATTGTTGCTGACATCGAATTAGAAAACGTCCTAGATCCTGATAGCTTCTACGAGCTCAAAAGCCAACCCCTATCCCTCCGCTCCAGGTATGACTTGCCTGCTGATTTTTCCTTCCAATCCTCAGCCCGCTCTCCACCCCTGCCCCTCCTGATGGGCAGAGGCCTCAGTACCAATCCAACCCATTCATACACAAGCCTGCATTTTCTGGGTGGTAAAATTAGGGGTCACAAACAACAAGTCACAGAGGAAAGCCAAACTAGGAACCAGTATCTGCTAAAACCTTCCCTGCCTCCCCCTACCCCACCTGCATGCCCATTCATACACAAATATTCCAGCAGGCCTGGAGGACCCAGTGGTGGGGTGTGGCCTGCTTAAACCCACACCCCCCAAGTGGGTGGAGCCATACCCACTATCCCTGCTCAGCCCCCTCCCACAGTCTACCAAATCACACACCCTCAGCCCTTGAAGAACCCCTGCTAGTCTTTTCTTTCCCCTAGCTTGGAAGTCCAAATGTGCTGAGTCATCGGCCTGGGCTCTAAGAGAGGGGAGGGGACCTGGAAGAGGGGCAGGAAGAGAGGATTGTGAAATCTCAGATTTTCAAGACTGACTGGCTCCTGGGACCAGAGGCCCAGGCAGGAGAAAGAGGGACCTAGGGGGTGCCCCTGTAGCCTGTTGCCCACCCCTAGGAGCTCAGGGAGCATCTCCAGCCCAAGAAGGAACTTAGGAGCGCTCTGTAGCCCCGTCCTCCTGTCACAGCCCCAGTTATAGGTCTTCTCCTCCCCTTTAAATAGGCTAAAGCCCCTTTGGCAGAGCTGAGCGAGGGCATTTTCTCCACTTAATAGATGAACAGGCTCAAATCACAGGACTGAGAGCTGAAATTCCCCTGTCAGTCTTGGACCCTCTGAATGCTATGACTAGACCTGGTTTCAGTATCTCCTCCATCACACTGACCCCTGAGGGTATGGACAGGCTTGATTCCTGCATCTCTCCTTCTACATGATAGCTCCAAAGGCAGAGACCAGGCCTGGTTCCTGTGTCTGATCCATCACACTATGATCCCTTAGGCTCGGGATGAGACGCTTAGCTTACCTGTGGCCCCATATTTCCCATTCCACAGCCTCCCAATATCACTGCAGGCCACACCAGCCACCCCAGCTACACTCTCTACATCGTCTTCTGCAGGGGGCTCCAGGACCCCTGCCATGTCATCATCTTCTTCATCGCGGGTCTTGCTGCGGCAGCAGCTAATGCCGGCCCAGGGCCAGGGTGAGCGTCGGGAACAGGCCGCAGCTGCTCCCTTCCCCAGTCCTGCACCTGCCTCTCCTGCCATCTCTGTGGTTGGCGTCTCTGCTGGAGGCCACACATTGGGCCGTCCACCCCCTGCTCAGGTGCCCAGGGAGGTGCTCAAGGTATGGAGAGGTTTAGAGGTCCTGGGAGGGTCTCCTGGTGACTGGCAGTGGTTCTAGGAGCTGGGGTGGCCTGGAAGTCCTGGTGCCTTTGGGGAAAGCTCCTAGGGCCTCTAAGGAAGGTCTCTGGTACTGTTTAGATGGCTTCTGTCCCTGTCCCACATGCTTGGGTTTCTCATGTATTCTTGTGGAGTTGTGAGGATTTCTAGGGGGGCTATGAGCATGTCTCACTGGCCCATGGAGGGTTGTGAGTAACCCAGGTGGACCCTGGGTTTGCAGAAAGAGTTCCATGTCTGTGTGCCACGTTAGGAGTTCTTTGACTATTAGGATGTTTTGGAAAAGCCATATATAGTCTCCAGGTCTGTTAGGTAGTATCAGAGACCAGGGGGGAGTGTTGGGAACTGTGACAGGGTTTTCCAGAAACTGAACGATTCTGTCAGCCACAGGTAGATGTTAGGGACTGTGAAGGATTTCTTTCTTTCTTTGTTTTCAAGATTTTTACCATAGGGCATGTGTACTCACCTAAGAGAGACAGAGAAAGAGAGAGCAAGAAAGTGATAAATTGCTCCCCAGGGGGTATAGCTGCACTGCAATCCCTTCTCCATTCTCAGAAATTTTGGGCATGCACATATATGAACCTGGTGTATTTTTTAAGTCCTCAGGTCCAGGACTTAAATCATGCAGTTGGCCATGTAGGATCCAGCACCTTAACCTTCACGCTACCTGCTGGCCCTGGGCTGTCAAGGATTTCTGAGAAAAGGAGTTTGGGTCTTGAGGGAGACTCACAAATATTTTGGGTGGGAAATCTTAGATTCTGGGCCTGGTTTGTCTGCCTGAGCCTAGAAACAGATGAGTTAGGAGGGTCATTCTGGGGCTCAGAGTCACCCCTCTGAATCCTATTCTACATTGTCCCCTCCCTTCCCTCATCCCCTTATCCCATAGGTACAAACCCACCTGGAGAACCCGACACGCTACCACCTGCAGCAGGCACGCCGGCAGCAGGTGAAACAGTACCTGTCTACCACACTTGGGCCCAAACTGGCTTCCCAGGCCCTCACTCCACCACCAGGGCCTGCGAGTGCTCAGCCACTGCCTGCCCCTGAGGCTGCCCACACTACTGGCCCCACAGGCAGTGCTCCCAACAGCCCCATGGCGCTGCTCACCATTGGATCCAGCTCAGAGAAGGAGGTAAGTGGCTTCAGATACCTCCCCATGCTATCCACCCTTCAGTTCTTCTATCCCCATACAGTATTTGCTTCTTCCCCCAGATTGATGATGTCATTGATGAGATCATCAGCCTGGAGTCCAGTTACAATGATGAGATGCTCAGCTATCTGCCTGGAGGCACTGCAGGACTGCAGCTCCCCAGCACGGTGAGGTGTTCAGATGGGAGGTTGGTCAGAAAATTAGGACATCTCTCTGTCACTGAGGCCACACCTGTACTGGCTATGCATATGTGAGACCCTTGACGTGGGTTGTACTGAAGTAGAAAGGGAGGCCTTTTCATGAGAATGGGGCATACCAGTGCCCTTGGGCCTCATGCTGGGCTACAAGGAGAGATGAGCCTTGCAGACTTTATTTATTTATTTTTTATTAATTTTTTTGAGAGATTTTTGTGTTTTTTTGTTTGTTTGTTTTTTGCTACAGGGTACATGCATTACCCAGAGAGACAGAAAGTGAGAAATCACCCCCTGGGGGATGGCCACACCCCAATCCCTTCTCTATTCTCTTGGAATCTTGGGCATGCATGCACATGCACCCCGTGTGAGTTTAAGCCACCGAGTCTGGGGCTCGAATCTTGGTCAACTACGTGGGAGTCCAGTGACATAGTCATTACACCAACTGCTGGTCCCAGGCCTTGCAGACTTTGATACATACTGGATGGGAAGCTCATGGAAATACTAGGGCATACCAAAGTGCTCAGGCTTTGCTATGGGAAGTACCAAAAGGTGGGAATTTTGTAGGAATTTGACTATCTCAAGGAATTCAGGTCATTGGGACATATGCTGACAAATTGGTGATTGGAAAATATTAAAAGTTTCCAAACTTTGTGTGGGTTAAAACAAGTGGTCAGATCTTGTGGTGATTCCAGTGTACCAAGTCTCTTGCAGTGAACTGTGCCAAGAGGCTAGGTCCTCTTGAGATAAAACTTTCTTTTTTAAGACTTATTTTATTTAACTTTATTTATTTTAATATGACCAGAGAAGGACAGAGAGAGAGAAAGAGAGAATGCATGAGAAAGCAAGCCGCCAGGTCCAGGACTTGAATCATGGTCAGTCATGTGGGAGTCTAGTGCCCTTTACCACCATTTCACCTACTGGCCCCAGGATAAAACTTTCTAGTGTGAAGGGTATAACCATTATAATATTCTGGTTCTAGAACATTCCAGGGGGCTCTTAGAATATACCAAGTGCCTATAGTTTTGCTTTTTTTCCAACTTGTCAAGAGGATAGAGGCATGTATAAAAAAGGTACGAAAAGGTACGAGTTTAGTAGAACTTTTTTTTTATTATTATTATTTAGACACAGGAAAAAATTAAATGGATCCAGCAGACTAGAGAGGATGTCAAGAGACAAAACTCATCAAGAAGTAGGACGTGGAGGGGCCAACCCTTTAGCTACATGGTTAAGAGAGCTGGATCCCATGGGGCCAACTGTGATTCGAATCTTAGCCTCAGCAGCTTGAAAAACATGCTACACGCATGTGTGTGTGTGCCCAAATTTCTGACGGGAAGGAGGAAAAAAGATGTTTCCTCCATGCTCCATTGTAGGATACTGCCCTGTCACTCTGCCCTCCCCTCCCCCAATGAGCACACATACCTTCTGGCTATTAAAAAAAGAGAGAGAGGAACTTGTGTATATTTTAGATTAGTGCATTGCCCTAGAGTATATCCAGGATAGTGCAAAGGAGAGAAAGCAACCAGACTGATAAAAAAGCAGTGTTTGTTCAATAGTTAGACAAGGAATGCTGAGAGGTCAGAATGTGCAGGAAGATACCAGAGTCAAGGCCTTGGTATGTGACAGTAGGAAATCATGGTGCGACTCAATCATGGTTGAAGATGAGAGATCAGGTTGGAACTCTCCAAAGGCCAGATTTTTGATGACACGTTGCCATAACCGTTTCCCAAGGTTTAAGAAGATTGAGTTAGAGTGTTTCAAGAACACTGGATTGGAATGTTGTGCTGGGAGGAGCTACTGGGCCGGAATGTCACATCAGAGCTGACGACCTGAGAACAGCGTTTTTTCTCAGAGCCAGCCCTGGAGTTTGAGAGAGAGGCTTTAGAGATCACTCAGGGGATTTGAGGGGCTGGGTAGAGGGAGTAATAAGCAGGCCTCCACTTGGCTCTGTGGGGCTGCCATGTCTAATTGCCTTGGAGAAGGAAGGGCTCCTGTGCTGATTCAGCTAGTCCTTGCATTAGAGAGGCCAGTCTTTGGGGTGTGTGAAGAGTCAGTATCCTGGTTCTGAGGAGAGGCTGAGCCTGGGGTTTGTTCCTAACCACTGTCTCTCCACCTTCCCTACCCACAGCTGCCTGTGTCAGGGAATCTGCTTGATGTGTACAACAGTCAGGGCGTAGCCACACCAGCCATCACTGTCAGCAACTCCTGCCCAGCTGAGCTACCCAACATCAAACGGGAGATCTCTGGTAAGTGCCAAGGTCTTGGCCCCATTCTGTGCCCTGTACCCCAAATTGATCCCTATGACTATCAGTTCTGGGGTGGGCCTGATTCTGGCGAAGGGAGTTGAACATACAGAAACAGGGGCTATTTGTTTCCTTTATCCCTGTGGCCTCTGGTCCTGCTTTCACACCATTTCCTTCATCCCATTTCCTTTCACTTTCTCTGATCTTGGGTTTAACAACTGGTCTGTCACTAGAGCTTCATCAAAAACAGTACAATGGGGACCAGCAGATGGCATAATGGTTACATCGCTGGACCTAGTGGCTTAAAACTCACACAGAGTGTGTGTGTGTGTGTACCCAAAATCCCAAAAGGAGAATGGAGGAGAAGGGATTATGGTATGGCCATCCCTGCTGAGGGGTTTTTCTTGCTTTCTGTTTCTTCCCTCCCTGTGCCTCCGGAGAGCACATGTACTCTATAGCAAAAATCTCTCTTTAAAAAAAAAAAAAGAGTAAAACAAGGTCAGCCAGTGTCATGATGGTTAAGGTGACGGATTCCACATGACTGACAGAGCAGTTCAAGCCCAAGGTCTGGCAGCTTGTAAAACATGCCAGGCACACGTGTGTGCATGTCCAAAATCCTGAGAGAAGAATGGAGAAGGGATTGTGGCATGGCCCTCCCCACTGGCCGGTTCTTCCTCACTCCCCTGCCCCACTGTCTCTTTCTCTCCAGCAAGTGCATGTTCTCCATAGCATTTGTTTTTTAATTGTTAAAAAGAGGGACTAGCAGATGGCATAATGGTTACGTTGCTGGACTCCCATGTAGCTTACCGTGGTTTGAGTCCCAAACTCAGTGGCTTAAACTCATGCCAAGCATATGTGCATGCGTAGCCAAGATCCTGAGAGGAGAATGGAAGGGAAGGGATTGCAGCATAGCCAACACACCTGTGGATGATTTCTCACTTACTGTCTCTGTCTCTCTCTGTATTTCCAACAAGTGCACGTGCCCTATAGCAAAAATCTCTTTTTAAAAATTTATTTATTTTAATTTGATCAGAGAGGGACAGAGAGAAAGAGAAAGTAAGAAAGCAAGCTGCCAGGTCCAGGAGTTGAACCATAGTTGGCCATGTGGGAGTCCAGCACCTTTAACCATTATGCATCCTGTTGGGCCCTAAGTTTATTTTTGTTAGAGAGATTTTTACTATAGGGCACTCGTGCTTGCCAGAGAGATAGAAGGCCAGAAATCACCCCCAGGGGGGTTGGCCATGATGCAATCCCTTCTCCTCTACTCTCCTCTGGGGATTTTGGGCATGCATGTACATGCGCCCGTTGTGAGTTTTAAGTCACTGAGTCCGGGATTTGAACCACAGTGAGACATGTGGTAGTCCGTTGATGTGACCATTATGCCATCTCCTGGTCCCAATAGACTCTTTTTTTTTTTTCAGAGAGAGAATTTTGCCATGTGCGCTCACCAGAGAGACGGAAAGCAAGAAATCATGCCCTGGGAGGATGGCCATGCCACAATCCCTTCTCTTTTATTCTCCTCTTGGGATTTTGGGCACATGTGCACACAAACCCGCTGTGAGTTATAAGCTGCTAGGTCTGGGACTCGAACCACAGTCAACTACGTGGGAATCCAACAACGTAACCATTATGCCATCTGCTGGTCTCCTAAGAGGCACTTTTTAAAAACATCACTTCCTTAGGTCAGCCAGTTGGATTTCACATGGCCAACTGTACAGTTCAAATCCCAGACCTGGTGATTTGAAGAACATGCCAGGTGCGTGTGCATGCATGCCCAAGATCCTGAAAGGAGAAACTGAGAAAAAGGGATTGCGATGTGACCAATCCCCCATGGGGAGTGCTTTCTCATTTTCTCTTTCTCCACTTAAACACATATACCCTCTAGCAACAACAGCCACCAACCCCAAAAAAGTTGTTTCCCTTGCCTCTGCCCACAAAACCCTAACTCAGGATCTGCAGATGTTTCATTCTTTCCCATATCCAGCAGAAGCCCTGACCACCTCCACTCTCTTCCAGAGACCGAGGCAAAAGCTCTTTTGAAGGAACGGCAGAAGAAAGACAATCACAATCTAAGTAAGCCAGAGATAATGTGCACTTGCGCAGCCCCACCCTGCTGTGAGTCCCGGTCCTCCACGGGGAGCCCCTCCTTGCAACGGTCTCCCAACTCCCCAGTTTCTCTCTCTTCCCTCCTTTGCCCATTGACGACTCTTTCCTCTCGCTGCCTCCAAAGTTGAGCGTCGCAGGCGATTCAACATTAACGATAGGATCAAGGAGCTGGGTACCCTCATCCCCAAGTCCAGCGACCCGTGAGTCTGGGCTGCGAACTCCGGGCCAATGGGAGGTGGGGCGGCCTATTCTTTGGTGGGCCTGCCAGGCAGTCTTGCCCAGACATTCTCTTCTGGTCCTTTCCTAGCCTGAGCAGGGTCACAGACCCTTGCTGTGTCCCCACCTAAAATTTCAGGTACATGACGTTAAGATCTGTGTTTACTCCAAGGTCTCCATAGGGCATATGCACCTAGTTTTCTGTTCATCTATTCCCTCCTCTAGTTATTCCAGATTGATTTGTTGAGCCTCTGCTTTCTGCCAGGTATGGTGCTAGGCCCTGAGAATACCAGAGGGGACAAAGCAGACAAAGATCCCTAGTGTTTTAATGGGGGCAGACAGGCAATAGGCAAATAGTAAAGTCCAAGACTCACTGTGATGAGTGTTACAGAGAAAAATAAAGAATGGAAGAGAGCTGGGAGTGTGATGGGGAGAGTTATTACAGTATGGGGTGACAAGGGTAGAGACAGGGAAGAATTAACTAACAAGGGAAGAATTTGGATGAAGAGCCTGGGGCAGAGGGGCAGCAGGTAGCATAGTGCTTAAGGTGGTCAACTGCGGTTCAAGTCCTAGACCCAGCAGCTCAAAAAAATCACACTAGGCATGCGTGTGTGTGCATGCCCAAAATCCTGACAGGAGAGTGGAGAAGGGATTGTGGCGTGGCCATGCCCCCTGGGGGGTGATTTCTCACTTTCCCTCTCTCTGTCTCTCTAGCGAGTGCATGCACCCTATGACAGACACCTAAAAAAATAATAATAAATAAAAATTAAAAAGAGCCCAAGTTGGAGCTGGTCAGTGGCATGGTGGTTAAGGCGGCTGGATCCCACATGACCAACTGAGGTCTGAGTCCTGGATCCAGCAGCTTGAAAAATACCCGGGGCCTGTGTGCATGCATGCCCAAAATCTTGAAAATGGAGGAGAATGGATTGTGACATGGCCATCCCCCCCTGGAGGTGCTTTCTCACTCTCACTCTCTCTCTCTCTCTCTCTCTCGCGAGAGTATGTGCCCTATAGAAAATTTAAAAAAAAAAAAAAGACCCTAAAGAACAAGACAGGGGGCCTAAAGAACAAGGCAGGGAGCCACATGAGTGTCTAGGGGGGGGGGAATGTTCAAGGCAGAGGGCATAGCCAGGGATGTAGGCCTGGAGATAGGAATGGATTTCCATGTCAAAGGAGCAATGAGGGACAGTGGGGCTGTGATGAGGTGAATCAAAGGGATGTGGTTAACAGAAGAACCATATGGAGTCAGGTTAGTGAGGGTTTCCAGGGTGCAGGATGTGATGGGGCTCCTTTGGAAGGTTCCAGGCAGGGGGTTTTCATCCAAGTCTCACAGAGCCTTGGTATACCCCTACCTCATGTTCTGCACATGTGCTGGGTTGTTTTATCTACCTGGTGCAGTCCCCCTACCGGCTCCTGAGAGACTCCATATATACCACTTCCTTATTTCCCTCCCCCTCGGGCCCACAGGGAGATGCGCTGGAACAAGGGCACCATCCTGAAGGCCTCTGTGGATTATATCCGCAAGTTGCAGAAGGAACAACAGCGTTCCAAAGATCTGGAGAGCCGGCAGCGATCTCTGGAGCAGGCCAACCGCAGCCTGCAGCTCCGAATTCAGGTCTGGGAGGAGAACACGGAGACAGGGATGAGGGGGACTTCCAACAAGCAGAGGCAGAGGAAGAGCAGGCCAAGATTTCCCTTCCTGGCATCCTTAGGGGATCCCCAGGCTTCCCAGCTCTCGTGATGATGACAATGATAAGTAATAATCATAACATCAGCTAAGGTACATAGTGTTCATCTTGTACTGTGCACAAAGAGAAGAGCTTTATATTCATTAGCATTTATTTAACCTATTGTTAAATCCTCACAACCATGCTGTGAGGTAGGGACCATTATTATACCCAGTTTGTAGATCAGGACTCTGAGGCTCAGAGGTGAAGCAAGCTACCTAAAGGTTCACAACTAGTGAATGGCAGGGGCTGAATTCGAACCCAGGCAGCCTGCCCTTTTAGCTGTTGTTATCTTCCTCTGCCTCTGAGGGATTCTGAACCCCATCTTATCCTACACCCTTCCTTTACTTTTTGCAGGAGCTAGAACTGCAGGCCCAGATCCATGGTCTGCCAGTACCTCCCACCCCAGGGTTGCTCTCCCTGGCCACGCCTTCGGCCTCTGACAACCTCAAGCCAGAGCA